AATATATTACTTGAGTGGAAAGACGGTTCCTAGTGAAGATGGTAACAAGGTTTGGAAATATAGGTTTCCTTGTTCTTGTCACAAAAAATGGAATAGAAGACTTTTTTCAGCTCATACACTACATCCAGTATGTTAAATCATATTAATCAGGCAATCCCAGCAAACTGTGGAAACATCTGGTGAGATGGGCCCTTTAACATCTGGGGTGGTCTTACTTATCCTGCTAGGGGAATGTTTAAATCTCTCCACTGTAAATAATAACGTAAACTCCCCTAGTTTCAGTGTTACCAACTTTCATGATTTATATCACAAGTCATGTGATATTTGGTGTTTTTCTTAAAGGCCTCTTGTAATCACTTAAAGGTGAGAAGTTCAGCTTTCATTATTTAAAACAAGTCAGCTGCCAGCCCACATGGTTGCAGAACAAAGTTTGAAACCATGACCCCTAACGACTCCGTTGTCAGAAGGTGAAGAAACAGAACCCCTAATTTATTGGCTTAACTTCTAATGATTTTTAAACCAACCTCATTATCTGGGGGGAAGATGGGGCAAGCTCATGATTTGTGAATGCCTGAGCGTGGTAATACCAGGTCCCTCACTCAAGGCTCGTAAGCAAAGTAGCAGTCTTGGGATAAGAGAGAAGGTCCTCTCATGGACCAGTAGCTGATTAAAAGACAGGAAACAAAGGGTAGGAATAAATGGTCAGTTTTCACAATGGAGAGGGGTGAATACTGGGGTCTCCCAAGGATCTGTACTGGGATTAATACTGTTCAAAAATGATCTGGAAAAAAGGGTAAACAGTGAGGTTGACCATGAATTTTGCCTTCCTGCCAGATAAAAGGATCTGGGAGGCCAGAGGTGAATGAAAATAAATAACTGGCTTTTATTAAGAGTGAGAGGTCAACGAATCCTACTGAGTGCACTGTTTTGCTTATTTTGTAAAACTTAAACACTATTTTAACTAGAAAATACACTGAAAGGTACAGGCCTCTTTTACAGTCTAGACCTAATCACTCTCTATGTATATATAGATATATTACATACACACACATACACACCCCACATTCAAGCTCTCAGTCTACAGCTGTTGTAAGTACACTCAAACTTTGTCCTACACTGTCACCTTGTGGCAATTTGACAGATTACAACAGCATTCCCCAAAATCACACTTCACACTGTCTACATAATAATAAAGTTCCTCCGTCACTGAAGGCATGTTATACTAAATTCTGTACATGCAATTGTCAGCAGCTGATGTATGTGTTTAAGACTTCCAATTAATTCATGGGAAAATTATTAAAATAAAAATTGGATTAGTCCATATGCATCATCATTATTATTCTATGTAATCTATCTATATAAAGTCTTATATGGTATCCAGAATTATGATATATATTTCTCTCTCACTAACCTCCAGGCAACATCATTATCAAACAACTTCTGTATATTAAGGCAGTGTTGCCTAGTGGATAGAAACATGGGACTAGACTATAGGTGACCTGGATACAAGTTGTGATAGTCTGGCCAGCTGGATGACCTTGAGCAAGTTACTTCCCTGTTGTGTGCATCAATTTACCCATCTGTAAAATGGGGAGAATGATACTGACCTCCTTTGTATAGTGCTTTGAGATCTACTGGTGAAAAGAGCTATGTATTATTAATGATAATAGTGATAAATCATAGATGATATTATCCGAGGTCTCAAAGACTCAGAGAAACTCTGCACCTTAAAGCCTGAAGAAGCTATTTTTTATTTGCTAAAAATAAATAAAAATACAGGTGTTGGAATTATCAAATCCATCCATATATTGAGGTCAATTTCCATGTATTTGGAAAGTTGCAAAGATAATTCTTGTG